TCTCTCATCAGTGACGGCCATGCCTCAGCCCCTGCTACATCCGCTGCTTTTGTTGAGGACCCATTGTTATTTTTGTCCTCTCGCATACTGCAGCATGCTCTGTTTGTCTGTTTTTTCCAGTGTCTCAGGGGCAGCATCTTCCTTGCAAAGCCCTCCTGCCTTTTGTCCCCATGTTCTTTGCCTTCTTCTGACCAGGTCACTCCACTTTTCTTCCATCTCCATACAAATAGTTGTACCAGGGGCATCCTGCATCAAGGTCAAAGTGACTTTAGAGCTCTGGGGCAGTTGCCAAGGCCGTGGGCAGATTTCTCCTTCATCCTGTTGGTGAATCAGCTTATGAAGAACTCTCAGGGAGTCTCAGCTGGGGCCATAGTGCTGCCAGCACAGCACTGTGGGAGCCATCTGCACCCACTGGTCTTCAACTCTCTTGGGCATGACTGCCCATCACTCAACAGCCCCTCTCCAGAAGTCCAGAGGATGACCTCGGCTTTCTCCCACCACAGCCTTTTGGACATCCACTTCATCTCTTCCCACTTCACAGAATCACAGAATCACAGAATTTCTAGGTTGGAAGAGACCTCAAGATCATCGAGTCCAACCTCTGACCTAACACTAACAGTCCCCACTAAACCATATCCCTAAGCTCATCTAAACGTCTTTTAAAGACTTCCAGGGATGGTGACTCCACCACTTCCCTGGGCAGCCTGTGCTAACAACCCGTTCAGTAAAGAAGTTCTTCCTAACATCTAACCTAAAACTCCCCTGGCGCAACTTAAGCCCATTCCCCCTCGTCCTGTCACCAGGCACGTGGGAGAACAGACCAATCCCCACCTCACTACAGCCTCCTTTAAGGTATCTAGGGAGAGCGATAAGGTCGCCCCCGAGCCTCCTTTTCTCCAGGCTGAACAAGCCCAGCTCCCTCAGCCACTCCTCATAGGACTTGTTCTCCAGGCCCCTCACCAGCTTCGTTGCCCTTCTCTGGACTCTCTCAAGCACCTCGATGTCCTTCTTGTAGCGAGGGGCCCAAAACTGAACACAGTACTCGAGGTGCGGCCTCACCAGAGCCGAGTACAGAGGGACGATCTCCTCCCTAGCCCTGCTGGCCACTCTGCTTCTTATACAAGCCAGGATGCCATTGGCCTTCTTGGCCACCTGAGCACACTGCTGGCTCATATTCAGCCGACTATCAACCATCACTCCCAGGTCCTTCTCTACCAGGCAGCTTTCTAACCACACCTCTCCCAGCCTGTAGCTCTGCTTGGGGTTATTTCTCCCCAGGTGCAGGACCCATCACTTGGCCTTGTTGAGCTTCATACAGTTGACCTCAGCCCATCGGTGCAGCCTATCCAGATCCTCCTGCAGAGCCTTCCTACCCTTGAGCAGATCGACACACGCACTTAACTTGGTGTTTAAATTTGTGATTCTGTGATTCAGAATCAACCAACCCCTACTAGTTGGTGACCACAAGATCAAGCAGCACTCCTCTCCCAGTTGGCACGTTCACCATTTCCATCAGGAAGTTATCATCAATGCACTGGAGGAACCAGTACTGGAGGAACTTCCTGGACTGTGGGTGACTGGCTGAGTAGGCCTGCCAGCAAATGTCAGGGTAGTTGAAATCCTCCATGATAACCAGGGCCTGTGATCAAGAGTCGGTTCTCAGCTGCCTGTAGAAGGCCTTGTCAGCTTCCTCATCCTGGTCTAGTGGCCTGTAACAGACACGCACAACAGCATCCCCCATGCCAGCCTGCCCCTTAATTCTCACCCACAGACTCTCAACTCGCTCCTCATCTGCCCCTGGACAGTACTCAATACAATGGAGTTGCTCTCTGACTTGAAGAGCAGTTCCGCAACCTCACCTTGCTGGCCTGTCTTCCTGAGCAGGACATAGCCATCCATGACCACATTCCAGCCATGTGAGCTGTCCCACCATGTCTCTGTAACTGCCACCAGACCTCAGTCTTCTGACCAAACACAGATTTCTAACTCCTCCTGCTTATTCCCCATGCCACATGCATTGGTGTCCAGGCACTTCAGGGAAGGAGCTGAGCACGCTGATTTCACCCCATGAGGGGTGGGAGGCCTCCTGGTCTTCATGTCTGCGGGGGCACTGTCCCACCAGTACAAGCCCTGCTACAACCCCATCCCCCTGTGGATATACATGTAGCTTGAAGCTCTCCAAATGAGCCCTGCTAATTGCTGTCCCAGAACCCTCTGGACCCTGTGAGATAAACCTTTCCCAAGTATTCCTCTCAGGCCTGCTGTCTTATAACACCAGCCATTACCAAACAACCCAAAGCTGGGCCTGTAGCACCAGTCACGGAGCCAAGCATTTATGGACCAGATCCTTCTATTCTATACAATGTCACCACCCCAGAATGGATGGAGGGAAGAGAAAGGGACTTGTACTACAGACTCTTTCACGAACCGTCCCAAGGCCTTGGAAGCTTTATCCATTCCCTCAGACTACAGGATGCAGCTTCCTCCACAGCTGTCTGCAATATCGTCAGTAGATAGTAGTATGTGAGGCACAGCAGGCTGATGAGTGTCCTGGTGATCTCTCTGATCCAGGCTCTGATAGACCACAGACTTCCCTGGGAATGAAGGGAATGCTCCGTGTCCTCATGGCCAGTCCCCAGTCAGTTTGGGTGCTCTCCTTTCAGTGCTCCTTGGACCCTGTCTGTGCCAGGTGAGACACGACCCTTCATCAGGGCTGTGGGGTCAGTGGGATGTGGACACTGCAGAAGCTGGAGCTGTGTGCTTCATCATACAGGGCATGGCTCAGGTGTGATTCCCCCTTGGGAGTGTTTACCCTATATCCACAGGAGACCCTGGATGGAGAACTGCCTCAAGAGTTCCCCTGTGTAGTGGGTTTACTTGGCAAGGTTTTGGTAGCAGGGGGCCATAGGGGTGGTTTCTGTGAGAAAGATCTAGAAGCTTTCCCATATTTGGGAAGGGCCCCATTGTTTTCCAGAGCTGAGCCAATAAGCGATGTTGTTTTGCGCCTCTGTGAGAGCATATTTAAGACAGGGGAAAAAAAACGCTGCGCCACACTGCAGCTGGGAGAGTGAAAGGAGTGAGGAACAGCCTTGCAGGTGCCTAGGTCAGTGTAGAAGGAGGGGGAGAGGTGCTCCAGGAGCCGGAGCAGAAGTCCCCTGTGGCCTGTGGTGAGTACCATGGTGAAGCAGGATGTCCCCCTGCAGTCCATGGAGTACCACGGTGGAGCAGGGTTCCACGCTGCAGCCTGTGGAGGAGACCACGGTGGAGCAGGTGGCCCTGCACCAACAGGGGCTGCCGCCTGTGGAAGACCCCTGCTGGAGCAGATTCCGGGCCAGATCTGTAGCCCGTGGAGAGGAGCCCACGCAGGAGCAGGTGACCTGGCAGGAGCTGCTGCCCGTAGGGGAGCCAGGTTGGAGCAGTTTTCTCCTGAGGGATGGACCCCGTGGTACGGACCCATATCTGGAGCAGTTCTTGAAGAGCTGCTTCCTGTGGGAAGCCCACGCAGGATCAGTTCACGAAGGACTGCATCCTGTGGGTGGGACCCCACAGCACAGGGGATGAGAGTGACCGAGAAGGAGCGGCAGAGAAGTGCTGTAGACTGACCATAACCACCTTTCCCCCGTTCCCCTGCTCCGCTCGGGGGGAGGAGGTGGAAGAGGGTGGATGGGGGGGAAGGTGCTTTTGGTTTCTTTCCTTTGTTTCTCACTTCTCTAGCTTGTTATTAATGAGCAATAAATCTTACCATTTTCTTATGCTGAGTCTGTTTTGCCCGTTACAATAATTATTGCATGATTTTCTCGTCCTTATCTCAACCTTTGAGCCCTTTTCACATATTTTCTCCACATTCCCCTTTGAGGAGGGGCAGTGAGAGAGCGGCTGTGGTGGAGCTGGGCTGCCCACTCGAGTGGAACCACGACACCCTGTACCTGCAGTAGCACCTCTGCTGAGACATCGGGCTCTGCAGTGCCCATGTAAAAAAAATCCAGGGCTGGGGATATCAGTAGGCCCTGGACTGTGCCACTACTGCTCCAAGCTCTCCCTCACACTTTTATTAACCTCTTTCTGGGAATTTACATGAGCTCGGTTGTTAATGCTCACCATGTACACAAGGAAGCAAGACACGAGCTCAAGGTCTGCTCAGCATCTGGGATTGTCCCAGCAAAGAGCTCCAGAAACTCACAGCATGTTCATGTCTCCCACAGGCAGCAGCCCCTCACACAAGGCCCAGCTCCCTTCCAGAGGTGAGCCATTGCTCATCAGCCCTTCCCAGCACAGCCGTCCTCCAAGGCTTGCCTTGGCCACACTTTGTTCCTCCTCTCTCCCAGGGTCAGCCATGCCCCTGGAGGTCTGGATCCTGCGCTCTGCCCTCAGCCTGCTCCTGCTGCTGCCTGCCCCCATCATCACCCTCCTCCTGGAGAGATGCAGCCACGGTGCCTGTGAGGCCAGGCAGCCTGGAGACGTCCCTGTCCCCATGGTGCTCTGATGTCCTCCTGGGCTCCATGCTGCTCTGTCATGCTCAGAGCATGACCCCCACACATCTGTCAGACTCCCGCTGCTGTTGGGTTCAAGGCAGCTGTGGCAGCATGCCCAAGGGATGTGCTGCCACTGCTCTGCTTCCCTTGGCTCAGCGCCTTCCTTTGAGGAAGGGAATTGAGAGAGTAGCGTGGGGGAGCTCAGGCGCCTTATGGACGAAGCCTCTGCCTTTCCTGGTTGTTGTGTGGTCGCATGAGGGTCAAAGTGTGGGTGCAGATGGCTCCCACAGTGCTGTGCTGGCAGCACTATGGCCCCAGCTGAGAATCCCTGAGAGTTCTTCGTAAGCTGATTCACCAACAGGATGAAGGAAAAATCTGCCCACAGCCTTGGCAGATGCCCTAGAGCTCTGAAGTCACTTTGGCCTTGGTGCAGGATTCCCCTGATGACATCATTTGTCTAGACATTGAAGAGAAGCAGAGTGATGTGGTCAGACGAGGGAAAATCCGAGTGGGAACAAGGAGCAGGAGCTCATTACAGGGACCATGTTGCCCCTGAGATACAAGTAAAACTAGCGTGTGCTGCAGTGTGTGAGAGGACAGAAATAACAGTGGGGGCTCAACAAAAGCAGCGGATGTAGCAGGTTCTTAGGCAAGGCCCCCACTGATGAGAGCCTCTGGCTGTGGGCCAGGCTCAGGTAGCCACAGAAAGCTCACAGCACAGCCCCCAGCTGAACCGCAAGCCTCTGCCCCACCGTACCCAGCTCAGAGCAAAGCAGAAACTCGAAGCAGACGCTGCTCCCCAAAAGCAGCACCCCAAAATATGCTGTGGCAGGCACCATGGGCAAGGCTGTCTCCTTCTGGCCCTGCCATCCTGCTGCTGGTGATCTGTGAGTTGGGGCATTGCAGGGCATGGGGGCTGAGGGCTGGAGGGCTGGTGCTGGGAGCAGGACAGGCCGGTGGTGAGCTCAGGGGAGGATGGGGACAGTATGTGCGGGGCAGGTGTGCAGCACTTTGGGGCATCGTTGCTCTGGGGAAAGCAGGATGGGGATGGCTTCCGCCCGGTATGATGCATATCTGAGCAAGGGGCACACTTCTCCAGCACCATAAATTTTCTGGAGTGTTGCTCTGAGGCTCTACGACTGCTGAATTCTTTACGGAGGTATGGGAGTTACCTGGAACAAGAAATCCACAAAAAAAGGCATTGGGATTTGCATTGTATTAGGGGATGTTGAAGTGATATAGCATGAGAACATGCATGTGTGATGGTGGCTGCTTAGCAGTTAGGATTTTGGCAGGGGCATCAGGATGAGCTTGGACACTGCCCCTCTCAGCAAACCCCTCTCTGCCCCTTGATACAGGTGGCAGCATGAGCTCCCAGGACATCTGCAGCTCCCCAGGTACTCGTGAGTCCTTCCCTCCCAGACCCAGGGCACTTTGTAGCCCAACCACTGTGAGCTCTGTCCTATGGCAGCCCTTCACTGCTGTGTCTCCTCCAGGGGATCTCCAAGCTCCTGCTCTCCAAATGAACTCAACTTCTGCTCAGCCAGGTACCACAGTTGTGCTCCAGTGTATTCTCCATGTGTTTTCACATACAAGACGAATCATCTTCTGCAAGGATGGGAAGGAGGTGTACAGCCAGGAAGCCCAGCAAGGGCAGCTGAGCTACTCCGTGGTCCTGAACATCACGTCAAGGAGCGCAGGAAGATATACATGTGGGTACCAGCAGAGGAATGAGATGAAACAGAGGAGGAGCTCTGCCCTCAGTGCTGGCCGCATCCTGAATGTCCCTGGTGAGTCATGGCCCTGGGCTGGAGGGGTGAGAAGGGACGGAGGCACTTGCCACCACATGGCTGTGCTGAGGCTGGAGCTGTGTGCTGCAGCAGGCTCTGGGATGGTTCCCTTACGGGAGTGTTCCCTCTCCTCCAAGGCAGCCCCTACAGAGAGAGAGTTGTTCTCAAGGGGTCCCGTGTCCCTGCAGCACCACCTCTGCTGCAGAGATGGGGCTCTGCAGATCCCGGGCAGAGAGAGTAAAGACTGGGGATGTGTATGAATGCTGGGTTGAGCCAGGGATGCTCCAAGGTCTGTCCTGTGCATTGATGAGCCTATGGCAGGGCAAGTGGGATGACTGTCATGACCTCTGCAAGGACACAGCAGTGAGGACATGGCAAGGACCAAGAAGCAGGGACATGGGCACAAGCGTGTGGGTGCCCCAGCTCTCACTCCCTCTAAACAAAACCCTCTGTGCCCCAAGGTGCAGGTGCTGGCGTGACCACCCAGGACATCGGCAGCTCCTCAGGTGAGGTTGAGCGTGGGGATGGGTGACTGAAGAGAGGTGTGTGTGGGGTGGTGATGGCAAGGGAGAGGGAATTTGTTCTCTGGGTGAGAGCTCCTGGGAAGGAATCACTTCCCTGCATGGAACACAAAGCATTTTGTGTCCAGTTCTGGGATTCCCTTTACAAGAGGGGCATAGAACTCCTGGAGAGAGTCCAGACGAGGGCTACTAAGATGGTCAGAGGACCGGAGCCAAGAGCACTGAGCCTGTATAGCCTGGAAAAGAGGAGACTGAGGGGAGACCTCATCCATGTCTATAAATATCTGAGGGGAGGGTGTTGAGAGGATGGAGCTGGTCTCTTCGATTGTGCCCAGGGAAAGGGCGAGAGACAATGGACTCAAACTGAAGCACAGAAAGTTCCATCTGAATATGAGGAGCATTTCTTTACCGGGAGGGTGACAGAGCACTGGAACAGGCTTCCCAGACGCTGTGGAGTCTCCTCTGGAGATATTCCAAATCCACCTGGATGCCATCCTGTGCAGTGTGTCCTAGCTGATCCTGCTCAGCAGAAGGCTGGACTCCATGACATTCAGAGGTCCCTTCCAACCTTGGCCATTCTGTGATTGTGTGATCCTCTAGCCCCCAGAATCACAGACAGATGAGAGTGGTGGTGCCATATTTAATGGGCAGGCACACCTTGGCCAAGCTATACTTAACCACTCACGAGGGAATTTAGACAGCAGATCCATTGGGCCCATGTTGGCACAACAGCCACGGGCATTTTATGCCTTCCGTGGGGTTGGTGCTGTCTGTCGGTGGAGGGATGTGGCCATGGGGCTGAGGCTCATTCTGGGAAGGTGCTGTGTGTACTGTAGACAATAAGCCTGTCCTTTTGTCGTGCCAGGCAATGTGGTGAGTTCCCCGGCAAGTCCACCACCCCCAGGTTAGTGATTCCCTCCTGCACCTCCTGTACCCCCAGGTGAGTGATTCCCTCCTGCTCCCCCAGGACCTCCAGGTCCCCCTGTCCCTCCAGTACCACCTGTGCTGCAGACATGGGGATGTGCAGGGCCCATGCACAGAGAAGAAGGGCTGGGGATGTGGATGGATGCTGGGTTGAGCCAGGGATGCTCCAAGGTCTGCCCTGTACATTGATGAGCCTATGGCAGGGCTAGTAGAGTAATTGTCATGAGCTGAGCTGTAATGTACGTGTGAGCAAAGGGACAATATTTCTGGCACTAAAACTATGGCTGGAGCCATATTGTGAAAGAAGTGATAGTGGAGTGCTCAGGGATCTAGGCAACTCTCCCTCGAAAAATAAACCAACTAAAAATGGCTAGAGATGGACACAGGGCAGAAAACCTCTGCTGCAGACTTTGCAGAGCCCATGCATAAAAAACATGGGCTCGGGATGTTGATGGACCATTGGGCTGTACAGCTACTGCTCCAAGCTTTCCCTCTAAACTTTATGAACCTATGAAAATAAATTTACACAAGCTCAGTTGTTCATTTTGGCCATTTTCTCCATGAAGCAATACACGAGGTCAGGGTCTGCTCAGCATCTGGGATTGTCCCAAAACAGAATTTAAGGGAATCACAGCATGTTCATGTCTCCCACAGGCAGCAGCCCGTCACACAAGGCCCAGCTCCCTTCCAGAGGTGAGACATTGCTCATCAGCCCTTCCCAGCACAGCCGTCCTCCAAGGCTTGCCTTGGCCACACTGTGTTCCTCCTCTCTCCCAGGGTCAGCCATGCCCCTGGAGGTCTGGATCCTGCGCTCTGCCCTCAGCCTGCTCCTGCTGCTGTCTGCCCCTATAATCACCCTCCTCCTGGAGAGATGCAGCCACAGTGCCAGTGAGGCCAGGCAGCCTGGAGACATCCCTGTCCCCATGGAGCTCTGATGTCCTCTTGGGCTCCATGCTATCCAGAGCCTGCTCCACAAGACCAGAGTGTGACCCCCACACGTTTGCCAGACACCCACTGCCATTGGTCTCAATGCAGCTGAGGCAGCATGCCCAAGGGATGTGCTGCCACTGCTCTGCTTGCCTTGGTTCAGACCCTGCTCTCTGCTACTACTTTTGCCCATTACTTTAAACGGAGATGGGAGAACTTTTCACCAATCATAACTAAGATATGCTTGACTAGAGTCACTCAAACTCCACCTAAAAGATAGAAAATAATATAAATTGGCCTAAGAGAGAGGGGATGTTGGGGAAGATATTGTTATACACAATAAATGTTTGTTCATTGTCTTTTGTATTATAAAAACAGGGAGTTCTGTTTGAGGAACGGGAGTTGTGAAAACTCCCTGCTGAAGTAAGGAGCTGTATAATGCTTGGCTAGGCACTATGAAAATTCTTTTGCTTAATGTAACAAAAAAGAGACCCCCCACCCCCCCCTTCTCTCCTTCTGCATCTCAGTTGCCTCTTTTGTTTAAAGACCCTGCTGCAAAGCTTATGTAACCATCTCCTGATAAGTTGCTAAACTAGTGTATCAACATCCTGCCTTCCTGTCTCACGCTGGGCCAACATGAGCAAATAAAAAAGAAGTTGAACCACAACGCTGAGGAAGACTACGGCCTTCATCTTCACGACCACCAGAGGGACAGAGACGACCCCCTAGCAACTGCGCGCGCAGCTGCAGAATATACCAGGATGTGCTGCGTAATCCTGAAATCACCAAGATATAAAAAGGGACCCTGGCGGGGGTGAGGTGCGCGCCGTTGGTGGAGCTGAGACTCCCCGGGCTCCCAGCGCTGTTTTGCTTGCTGTTGCTTACTCAATAAATTCCTTTCTATTATTAATGCAATGCTCTCTGAAAATTAATTAAGGGGGCAACTTATAACAGATATTGCTGTCAGGGGAGATACCACCCCGAGGGAATACACCTCCTGACTCCTGGGATCAGTTGTCGGGCTGATCTTCTCTTCCACCCTCTTCCCCATTTGGGAGGCCTTTGGGTGAGATTTGAACACTTGGTTATACTGTGTGTCTCTGCAGAAACTTTGAAATCTCTGTAGAGTCTTTGTGCCTATTAAGGCATTAATTTCCAGGCTGCACACCTGTGTCACCTATGTCACCTGTGTATTTCATGCCTGCTAGCTTGCTTTTGCAGACAGTAACTATGGCTGGCAATCCAAAGAACCTGCATACCTGTTACTGTAATAAATCGCACTTGAATGCATTGTTCCTACCCATGATAGTGTGAAATGTGTTCATCTGATTCGTGTCAATATGGAACAATTCTCGGGCCACATGCTATGAAGAAATGTGACCTTCTGTCTTTCATACCCTTGTATAACCACAAGTCTGAGAAAAACAGAGTGGTTAATGCATATAGGTCTTGTATCTTACAAAGCAATGTTCCAGTAATTTGTGTCAACAGGGGATAAGAGAAGAACGGGATTTCAGAATAACTGCTACCTATTTTGTGTGTTGCATGGGACACTATGCAAGTCTCTGATATCTGGCCAGGAGATTAAGGAGAAGGGGAAAGCTGAAAGATGACTAAAACACAAAGCTTGCAGGAGATGCTGCACAAGTCTCTGACATCCGGCCAAGATGGACAAAGGAGAAGGACAAGAAGGAAAGCCTGAGAGGAAGATTATGAGCCTTCAGCATCAGAGGCCTCCAGAGGGACCACCGGAGACTGATACGAATGTGGCAGTAGGTGGGTTCGGATTCTGGGAATTAATTATAATAACCCTGCCTTTTTTCAAAGTAATAGTGAATATGTAGGAGCCTAGGAGCATAAAAACCAGATGCCTGAAGTAACGTATGTCTTGGTGGAGCAGAGACTCCTGGTGCACCCAGCGCTGTTTGCTTACCTCTATCAGTTTAATAAGTTGTAAATTTTGTAATCCTATTTGGTACTTAGTCATTTATTATGATATTTCTCATTAAACACAACTAGAGTAAGGGTGGTTATACATTTTTGGTGATTCCCAGATCATGGTAGTTCAGTGCTCTGAATCCAACCAGGCGCCTAATGGTTAATGCAGTATTGGTGAATCTGTGATTGTGATAGTTCAGTACTATGAATACGACCGGACTCATAACGGTTATTCAGCTACACCGCTTAACACGACACCAGACCACCTGGTTCTGCGTGGGCTCCTCTCAACAGGCATCAGCTCGGGTCCAGGGTCTGCTCCTGTGTGGCCTCTCCATGGGCCACAGCCACCTGCTCCACCGGGGGCTCCTCCACGGTCTGCAGAGTGGAGATCTGCTCCATGTGGGACCCATGGGTGCAGGGGGGCAGCCTGCTCCACCAGGGGCCTCTCCACAGGCCGCAGGGGAACTTGTGCTGCATGCCTGGAGCACCTCCTGCCCTCCTGCTGCACTGACCTTGGTGCCTGCAGGGCTGGTTTTCACTCCATCCTCTGCCACCTGTTGATGTCCAGCAGGTTTTCTTCCTTTCTTAAATATTCTCTCACAGAGGTACAGTGAACATCAATTTTTGGCTCGTCTTTGGCCTGCAGCAGGTCCCTTTAGAGCAGTCTGACACTGGCCCTTTTCAAATAGGAGGCAGCTTCTGGGTGAGTTCCCCAGAACTGGGTGAGCTTCAATGTGGTGAGTTCCCCAGGAAGTCCACCACTCCCAGGTGAGTGATTCCCTCCTACAGCCCCAGAAACTGGAGCATGGGGAGTGGGCGTGCTGTGCTGCCTTCCCCAGGGCATGGGGACAAACAGGAGCTTTACCAGGCAGGAGCTGTGCCAGCTGCAAGGGCACGTCCTGCTCCCTGCCTCTCCCCATCACACCCCGCTGCCCTCACACCCTCTCTCCCGCAGCTCCCCATGCCCGGATCCGGCACGCCCTCCCCAAAGGCACAGCGCTGGCAGTGGCAGCCGTCGGCCTTGTCATTGTGGCTGCAGGCAGCTGGTTTGCCATCAGGAAAGGTGAGGGAGTGTTGGAAGGAGGGTGAAAGGCTGAGGCCGTGGGGGTCCTGCTGCGGGGCTGGTGCAGTGGGAAAGGTGGTGGGGGGAACCTGGGGGTGCACAGCTGGGGCAGACGTTGCCTGGGGGTGATGGCTGTGGGCAGCCCAGCTGGGGAGGCTGCTGAAGGAGCTGGGAAGCTTCAATCTTTGTCCCCCAGCCCCAAGATGGGAGCCAGGGCCGGGCAGCACCTTGGCCTGTGCACCTCAGCCCCTGTTCTTCTTGCAGGTGTCTGCAGAGGGAGATGTCCAAGGTGAGCACCAAGGGCTGCTGGCTGTGGGTATTGCAGGAGGGAGTTGGGGGTATGACGGGGCCCTGGAGTGCTCCTTGGCCAGGGTCAGCATTCTGTCTGTGTGTGTGGCTGCATTCCCTGTGCTGGAGGCAGGGAGGGTGGGGCTTGCTATTTGCTGCACTCCAGTTCACCACATGATGTAGGAATGTACCACCCAAGTGCGTTTGTCATGGGGCAACCTCACCACAAACGCACACCCAACAACCATTCCATTCCTCTCCAGGCAGCAGCACGTTGACAGACCACAGATGGAAACCACAGATCATGTGGTCACAGAGCATGGCTGCTGCCTGCACAAGGGACATGGCAGCATCCCAGTGCTCCCAGGGACAAAGCCCCACTACTTGGGGGGTCCTTCCACACCAGCTCCACCCTCAGGCTGCATTTTCCCTGCTTCAGCCTCTGCTTTTGTCCTTTCTTCAGTTTCTCTTCAGTGTCATTTCTGCTTCAAGAACTACACAAAGCACATCACAGCAACGAAAGATGTGGCTCTGTTTCCTTGCCCTGATGGGGAAAATATTTTAGATCTTGCTCTGAAACCACAGGCAGAAGGGAGGATGTTGTGGTTGGGCGACAGGCTAAAGATATATACCTAGCTAACGTGCATGTACCTCGAGTTGCACCTTGACCTTGTTTACCCATGCCTGCACAGCGCATTTTGCAAGGTGTGTTGGCTGTGCAAAGAGAGGCGATGCCACAGAAAGCTGGAAAGACACCAAAACCTCAGCATCTCTGCTCCACTGCTGCTTAATGCACATCGCAGATCAGGGTGATGGGAGGGGAAATGTGGTCAGGTGTTGAGAGCTGACCTCAGGCAGCTGCTGCCCAAAGCTCGTGTGGGTTCACCCCCCTCCAATCAGCAAGGGCTCATGGTGTGTTTTTTCCCCACAGACTCCACCATCGCCCACGTTCGACGGGACAGGGTGAGTCATGGCACAGCTGTGCACAGCTCCTTTCTGCACTCCTGCAGCCTGGTGCACGCTCATTGTGCAGGGTTCACAGTCAGTAGCTGAAGTAACAGGGTTTCTTTTCTCCCTAAAGCCTCGTCCTGTGCAGCACATGACCGACACCATGACGTATGCCACGGTGATCTGCACCCAGACCTGATAGAGCTGCCACAGGGCAAGGGCACAGGAGCCTTGTCCACAGCCGCCTTTGCTCTCCTGCAAAGTTCTTGTGCAGTCATATCATGGGGCTGAGAGTTGCACTTTGGGCATCTCTGGAATTTTCTGTCACAAGGAAGGGCTGTGTGTGCCTAGGCAAGAGGATGAAGGACTCATATTTCTGTTTGCAATGAATTAATACCTCTAAAATATGTCAAGTGTACCAAGTAATAATATAAGTGTATCAGTGTTTTTTTTTTTTTCATGTGAAACCAACTCCCTGTGCTCACTGGAAATTATGTATTCCTAAACGGCATGACAAAGTCACAGGGCTGCTCTTCCATGCACCCACACAGATGGACATTTGGACCTATAGGGACCAGTATCACTGCAGGGATGTGCTTGCATGTGTCTGCCAACTGGTGTGTGCATTGCAGATATGGTTTTGTTTAGAAGAAAAATAAACATCTCTGGATGTCCATAAATCTACTGATCATGATGGGATGCTCAAGATGCTCATGCCAGGAGCTGAGGGAGTTGGTGGAAGTCATTGCTAGGCCATTATCCATTATCTTTTTAAAGTAATGGGCATCAGGAAAGTTGCCTGAGGACTGGAGGAAAGCAAATTTTACTCCAGTCTTCAGAAAGGGAAAGAAGGATGACCCAGGTAACTATAGACCAGTCAGCCTCACCTCCATCCCTGCAATGCTGATGGAACAACTTAGCTTTGGCGTTGTCTCCAGGCATATCAAGGATAAAAGTGTGTCGTGGTTTAACCCGGCCGGCAGCTAAACACCACGCAGCCGTTCGCTCACCCTCCCCCCTCCCTCTCTGGGACGGGGGAGAGAAATGGAAAGTGAAGCCCGTGAGTTGAGATAAAGAC